CCATTCACCCTGTCAAGCCATGTGTGGGATTCATCAGAACCCAATCGGTCCCTCCTCCACCCCTGTCAATGTGCTCTAAGGGGTTTTTCTTTCAACTTGATTGCTCTGAGGGCATTGGTAAATCCACCGAGTTGTGATCCATCAATGCCTGTCAGTGCATTGTTCCAGAAGCGTTTATGCCCTGAACCAGGAGAGTGGGAAGGGGTTCTTGGTACCATCGTAGGACAGATTTTCACTGGCTTATTGATTCATCCCACAAATATTTACTCAGCCTGCTGTTTAACTATGGAGATGAACCGGGGAGGAGGATGTTTGCTGGTGGGCTTCCCTATAAAGAAATCCCACTCAGTGAAATAGCATCTAGCCATTGAGACTGAAGGGCTATGAATATCGAACTGTTATTGAATATACGAGTCAGGCATTTTACCTATATCATCTAGTTGTCTCTGTGATGTCACTGGATGTACCATCTTCATTTTATAGATGGGGAAACTGAGGCTCATGGGGGCTCAATGACTCATTCAAGCTCCATAGATAGAAAGTGTCGGAAATAGGCTCTGATGTGGACTGGCTCCAAATCCCAGGGTCCTCATTATATTTGCTACATTGCGTGTTCCCACACCTCTTTTTAGTTGTTGGTAGGATAAAAAGGAAGATAAAGCTGTTTGTGGAGACACCTTGAAAAATACACAGCTCTCTCTGCTGAGAGAGCTTCATAATGCCCTGAGCATAACTTGCAGTGGGTAATGGGGCATTTGATTGACTGCTCTCTCCCTGCAAGTTCAAGAAGCCTCTCTGGTTTCAGTCTTGGCTGCCTCTGAGCACTGGGACTCTGAGCTCTGCCCTCATGTGAGTCTGAGGGCACTCGGCTGAGGCTCCCGAGTGTGGCCAGACCTGGTGGTACCGTGCTGCCCACAGAGAGATGAGGTCAACCTAGACATTGCCCAGGGGGTTCAATCCCAGTAACCACTGATATAGGCTACATTCAACCTGATAAAACTGTTTATTTTTAATACCTGTTTGAAATAAGCTTCCTTTCCAACCTCACGCTAAAATAGGAAGAGGGCTTTTCTATGTTCAGAGAGATTTCTCTTGAATCTTTCAGCTATTCACTGTAGAGATTGAATTATTCAGATCTGGAAGAAATGGAAATAGAGGAAGAAGAGACCATGTGGAGTAGCAGAAAATGCACTGAGCTGAGGATCAGGGTCCCATAAGCTCAGTGATTGACTCACTATATGACTTTGGGCAAGGTGCTTAGCTTCTGTTTCCATTTCTCATCTATAAATTGGGGATGATAATGCTTTTTTATCTTACAGAGTTATTGCACAGGTCAAATGTGGTAATAATTTCATTGATTCATTTTCTCCTTCATTCAGTAACCGCTAGACGGTTGAGTGATGAGTAAGAGCCATGGCCTGTGTCTACGGAGCTTACGGAGTGGCAGAGATAGACATAAGTTAACCTGGATAGAAATAATTGTTGGCAGGAAAGGTGTGGGAGGGGGATGAGGAGTTTAGGGTACTGTAAGGGCTGTGGCTGACCGTGTCCTATTAGGTGAGTCTGGAAGCGTGAGGAGGTGGTCAACTGATGAAGGAGGTTAAGTGAAGCAGCATGCATGAGGTTGCAAAGGAGTTTGGCACAAACCAAAATTGGAGAGGTCAGTGTGTAGGGACTGAAGTCCTTGTTTGCTGGGAACAGTCCCCATTGTGGCCCAGAATCGTTATTACTAGAGCCTTTTGCACTCTAAAGCATCTCTGGAGGAGAAATTACAAAGTCCTCTCACTCACGTGCTCTCATGCTGTGAGCACAGTGGATTGTTAGGCTAGGGGCACACAGGGACAGACTCAGGCTTTGTAGGCTGTATGAAAGGGTTTGGTCTCTGCCCCCAGGGGGAGTAAGTACCAACTGGAGGGTAAAAGATGGATAATAATATTTAGGATTTCTGTGTGTCTGCATTATGCTCTGTGCTTTAGAAGATGTAGTAGGTGCTCTTGCCATCCCCCATGCTATATATGAGGAAACGAAGCTTTTCAGAGATCAAGGAACTTGTTCAGGGCCAGGCTTTGCCTGGCTAGTAGCAGAGCACTGATCTAAAGCCAGGCCTCATTCCAAAGACAGGGGTCTTTAACCACTCTGACACTACCTCCTCATGAGAAGGTCTTGTGCTAAAAATGTATTCTGTTCAAGGGCTCCTGCTGCTCTGAACACTTTGCTCACTTTAGTACATGCTTATTGGAATGAACTGAAGCCTCCACGGCAAAGTTTCCCTGCTCTTCTCCAGAAACGATGGACGTGGGTGTCAGGACAGATGCAGAACACTAGCAGGAATAGCCACTGTAGCATCAGGGCTCAGGACTAAGGCCCCATTTCTGCCAGCTGTGACCTGAGCAAGGCCATTTCACTTCTCAGGCCTCATCCCTTGGGTCTTCTTCAAGGACACATCAGTTGTGAAAGGACTCTGTAAGCTGGAAGACACAACCATGGTAACAATAACCAAGTGCATGGCAAACATTTGTTGAGAACTTTCTTCTTACCAGATTTATGTTAAATGATTAATGCTTTTTTTTTTCACTTATAATCCCTCAAAACAACCCCATGAAGTAGGTACTATTTTATTTATTTATTTGTTTATTTATTTATTTATTTAAAAAGATTTTATTTATTTACCTGAGAGAGAGAGTGCGCCCATGTGCACAAGCTGGGGGAGGAGCAGAGGGAGAGGAAGAAGCAGGTTCCTCTCTGAGCACAGAGCCTGACTCAAGGTTCCCTGATCCCAGGACCCAGGATCATGACCTGAGCAAAAGGCAGATGCTCAACCAGCTAATCCACCCAGGCACCCACTATTATCACCATTTAATATGTGTGTAAATTGAGGCACAGAGAATCAGATAACTTATCCAAAGTCACAAGCTGGTATTTGGAGTCGGCTAGGGCTTTTAGCCATTAATTAAATAATTAAACAGTTTTATCCACTCCAAAGAGGACCAAGTGGCTCTGAACCATTTCTCTTGAGTCTGAGAGTGCCAAGATGGACCGAGGATATTCAACAGGGGGGTGAGGTGGAAGGTGGAGAGGCAGTGACTTGTGGGGGTTCTGTCCAGGAAGAGACAAGCGACCTCAGGTCAAGGATCCCCCACAGGGTTTGAGGGGTTTGAGATGGCCAGACAGGGCTGGAGAGGGATCAGTGATGAGACTCAAACCTCTGAGAACACAAATAGGTCCCTTTCTTCACCCCAGAGGCTTGGTGAATGCGGCAGGACTGCCATCTGGGGCAGTTTCCAGGTGGACTATATCTGGGGTGCTTCAGGGCCGTCACACGCTTTCTTTCACCGGTCGGTCAGCAAACACTGAGCAAGCCGGGACTCCTCTCCCACTAACTGTCATATTTGAGACTTGATGATGTATCAGCCACTATTTCATATTCTGCATGCACGTTACTCAAATTAGCTTCAAATCCCCCTGGAAGGATTTATATTCCTGTTTTGCAGATGGGGAAACTTGAGAGATAAGATCTCAAGCCCAAGGCCCCATAGCTGGCAAGTGGGTTTGAACTTGGACTGCTCTGCCTTCCTCAGTTGCTGGGCAGGGTTGTCTTCACTGATGGAATACTGTGTGGAGCCATCTCAACTCACTTTTACGGGCCACTGGCTCTGTGGTGGGCCCTACTGGATGCTTTGGTGGAAGGTCATTCATTCCATGTCGGCTCTGCTAGGGAGCTCTGGGTGTGGTGCTTAACCCTCCTGGGCTTCTGTGTTCTCACCTGGCAGGTGGGAGGAATAGCAGCACTTTCCCCAGTTGAGTGTCCGATGAAGTACCATGCAAAGCACGGAGGCGGAGCGTGGTAACCAGCGGGCACTCCAGAGTGTCCATCAAAGGAATCTTCTCCTCGAGGGGACCTTGTGGTGTGACTCCTTTATCATTCCTATTCCAGCCTGGGGCTGGTACCCTTGAGAAGACAGAAAACATCCCTTGCCTCCGGGCAAAAGTAGACCTTGAGCTACTTGTAGCATCATAGGTGCTGTTTCTTCTCACCCTCTCCTCTTTCTCCCTTTCCACATACAAGCTTCCAGGTGGACAGTTGGATAATGGCTGCATAGATACCTGTGAAGCCATCAACCTAATCAGAATAGTAAAGGTAGCCATCGCCTGCTGGAATTTCCTCAGGCCCCCTATCTGCGCTTTCTCCATTCCCAGTTCCAGGCAATCACGGATCCTCTTTTTTTTTTTTTTTTTTTTTTTTTTTTACCATAAATTAGTTCACATTGCTAGCATCTCCTATAAATAAAACCATATAGTAAGTATTCCTTAAAAAATTCACTCCTGGGGCACTTGGGTGGCTCAGTCCGTTGAGCGGCCAACTCAGTTTTGGCTCATGGTCATGAGCTCATGATCTGGCTCATGATCTCAGGGTCGTGAAATCAAGTTTCTTGTTGGACTCCGTGCTGAGTGTGGAGCCTGCTTAAGGTTCTCTGCCTCTCCCTCTGCCCTACCCTTCTCCTCATGTGCTCTCTCTTAAAAAACAAAAACTCACTTCTTTTATTCAGTATAATTATTTGGAAATTTGCCATTTTATTTCAATCATTCGTCTGTATTGCTGACTACAAGTCCATTGTAAATATTGACCATAATTTGTCCATTCACCTGCTGATGAGCATTTGGTGTGTTTTCAGTTGTTGGCTATTAGGAATAAAGCTGCCAAGAACATTAGCCTTAAGTTCTTTTTTTTTTTTAAAGATTTTATTTATTTATTCATGAGAGACACTGAAAGAGAGAGAGGCAGAGACACAGGCAGAGGGAGATGCAGGCTCCATGCAGGGAGCCCGATGTGGGACTCGATCCCGGGACTCCATGCCCTGAATCGAAGGCAGGCGCTAAACTGCTGAGCCACCCAGGGATCCCAGCCTTCTTAAAAGTTCCTTAAGGTAAAATGGTTGGGTCAATGGATGGATGGGTGTTTGACTTTCTTAAAAGCTGCCAAACTGTTTTCCAGGTGGTCGCAAGCTTTTACATCTCAACCAGCAACCTGTAAGCGCTCCATTTGCTCCACAGTCTCCCCAAAGCTTGGTATGTCAGTCTTTCATAATTTTGCCCTTATAATAGACAAGTAGTATGTCTTACCATGGTTTTAATTTGCATTTCTCTAATGGCTAATGATGTTGAACATCTGGTCACGTGCTTATTTACTATGCATCTGTCTTTCTTGGTAAAGTGTGTGTTAAAATCTTATTCCATTTTTAAAATTGGGTTTTTAGATTATTATTGAATTTTGAGAATTCTTTATACATTCTAGACACAAGTCCTTTTTCAAATACAAGTTTCAAAAATATAGTGGCCCAGTGTGTGGTTTGTTCTGTCATTCCCTAGTGTTCTCCTGAAGCTTACTGATGGTCTGTTCAGTGTTTTCCTCTGTGTTTGATTGTGGTTGGTCTTTTCTGTTCATTGTCTTTTTCAGTGTTGACCCTGCCTTTAATCTCACCCAATTCACTTCATCTCAGACATCATAATTCGGTTTAGGTCTTTTCTACAACTTCCATGTCTCTACATGTAGAGGCTTTCCCTCGAGCTTCTTGATCACATGGAATACATTGATAATCACTGTTTTATGTCCTTGGCTAATTTTACCTTATAGGTTAGTGTCGATTGGTTGATTCTTCTCCTCATACCAGGTCTGTTCCTCCCCCTGCCTTGGATAGTCCTCAACCAGGCACACTCCACTGCATAGGTGAGGGGACCATCCATAGATCTCAGGAGTCCTCTCTCTGTGAGTCTCCTTCCAGCACTCTGCCCTGCTAACTCTGCCTCCCTTGGTCTTTCCAGACTCCCAGGTTTCTCTCTGCAAATCAAGGGGTCCATATGCCTTTATCTGGGTCCTCAGCCAGTGCTGTGGCTATAAATGGGGTCAATTATAAGATTTCCCCAATTTGTGTCCCATCTTTCAGAAATCATGGTCCTTCCTTGCCTAAAAGTCCAATGTCTGGAGAACCATTGATTTTTTGTTTGTTTTTTTAAGTTGTCTTAGGTGGGAAGGTAAATCTGGTCTCTGGTACTTCATCTTGGCCAGAAGTAGAAGTCTCCAGAGTTTCTTTAGTCATAGAGAACCCTTACAGTCTCTTGTCAAAACTCTCCTTATTAGACATTAGGAAGCTGAGGAACTGCTCATATATTATGTACAGTACATAGTTTGGAGTTTAAAGGATGTAATGCGCCATATTTGGTGTTGGGATTGGAAACATGAATGGCATTGAGGCAGAAGCTAGGTTGTAAAGGTAACTGAATGCAGGGAGCAGGGCCTATCCCATGGTTGGTGGGGGAGGAACTGAAGAATCATTTTAAGTCTAGGAATGGCATAGTCGGGCTGGAAAGCCTAATTAATATTTACGCATTGCTTTTTTTTTTTTTTTTGTAGTTGGATTATATTCACCTCTACTTCTAGCAGGGAGCTGGCACAAGGTCATGTGTTGTACTTCCTGAGCTCTGGACCATAGTCTGCTCCCATCTGTGCAGCTCTGGACACATCAGTTCACCTCTTGTGGGCCTCAGTTTCCACAGCTGTAAAATGAGAATCCTAATACCTGTATCCACATGAAGTGACTGCAGTGAGGCTTCGATGAGACTGACAGAGGTCTGACCGTGGACTTCAAGTGCCCAGCACGGTGCCTGGCAAATAGCCCTCAGGGACGATGAGCAATTACTAATCAAGAAAGCTGAGTCTCAGTGAGGCTGTTTTGATGTGGTAACAGAGCAAGCAAGCCTCCACTTCAGCTCTCTGATAGCTTGCCATGTCTGTGATCCTCTAAAGCAAGATTTAATCCAAAAGATGTAATAATGATTGGTTGAGGCGAATCCCGACAGGGCCACAAAGACATACGTAGTGGTGGCTAAGGAGTATCCCCTGCCCTCGGCCGTTCCCTGACCCAGCGGTCCTAGCCCAGCCTGACGTGACTTTTCTGAGCAATGCATGTTGGAAGCTGTTGGATTTCTGCCACACAGAGGGCTACATTTAACCAACTAGAATGAAGAGTCAGAGCTAGACTGTGGTGTGCCATGGTTTGTGGTCGTATGTTTTAATATGATGTTTGGGGCAAAATTCAACTGTAAGAGGCTCCATCACGAAATGAAAGCTTTTATTTGTGTATGTTCTCCCATGGTCCAGACCTTTGTACTAGCCATTCTCTCTGCCTCAGGTGCAACGTCCTCTTGATTCGATGCTTCCTGCGTGTCTGATTGCCGAGCGGGCACTCTTTCTTCAGTTCACAAAGACTATTAAACCTTTCTTGACTCCCCCAGACAGATGACATATTCTTTCTCTTTAGATGCCTCCGCATTTTTCAAATACTGCAATTTTCATAATGGTCTTCTTTCCTTTTCTCTCTCTCTCTCTCTGTCTCCCCTTAGACTGCAAACCCTTTGTGTCAGTAGAGCGACACCTCCTTTGTTTACCGTGGAACCCGTGCAACCTAGGGTAGTGTCTGTGCTCAACACCTATTTTTGCATAAATGAATGAATGCACAGACAATGGGAATATAAGGTGAAGTGATGTAACGCTTGCACATAGTAGGAGCTTTCTTTTTTCATTTCCGTGCCTTATACTAGCTTGAGCTTTTAGATGCTCATATGTGATCTTGCTTATCTCACTATATTTATCGTTATTTACTGTCACAGGGCATTCCGGGGGCTCAGCAGATGCTGGCTGAATGAATGAGCAAGCAAGCCTTATCCCTTAATTGCTTTATCTCTTGCATGAAATGGTTGCATTAGATAATGTATCACTCAGCGAGTATTTCCTAAACCTCTGCCATGTGCCAGGCAGAGGCTGCATCAGTCATGGACTGTATCCTTGAGAAGCCTACAGACTAGTAGAATTCAGACAGACACTGCAACCCAAGATGGAAGGTGAGGGGTCACAGCTTGGGATGTGGCCGAGACTGATGGGAAGCCACCGAGACTAACGCCAGGCCTGTCCTGTGGGATGCGGGTGGGGCTCAGAGCTCGATGCAGCCATAGCTGTGAAGAGAAGATCCAGATCACATCTCCTCCACACTTCCCAGCCAGAAGTCACCTTTTGCTCATTTGTTCTCATCCTGGGACTTGATCTAACCCCTTTTAGAACACTGGCTCCTTTTCTGGAGGGTTAATGGTGTTGGTTAATCTTATGTGTCAGCTTGATCAGGCCACAGGCCACCCTGACATTTGGCCAAACATTATCCTGGTTGTGTCTGTGAGGGTGCTTTTTGGTGACATTGGCATTTTCGGATTGGTAAACTGAATAAAGCAGAGCACCCTTCCTCATATGGGTTGGCCTCATCCAGTCACTTGAAAAAAAAGGAGGGAACTCCTTCTGCCTAAGGGCTGAGTCGGGACATCAGTCTTCGCCTGCCTTTAGATACAAACTGGAATATCAGCTCTTCTTGCTTCTCAAGCCTCTAGCTTCTTCTGGACTGAACTTTGCCATCAGCTCTCCTAGTGTTCAAGCTTTCAGCCTCTGACTGGAGCTGCACCATGGCTTTTCTGGGTCTCTGGTATGCTGACTACAGGTCTTAGGATTTCTCAGCCTCCATAACTGCATGAACAAACTCCTTATTATTGATCTATTGATCTATCTGTCAATGGATCTATCTACCTATCTACCATCTATCATCCATAATATATATAGAGAGAGAGAGAGAAAGAGAAAGAAAGGGAGAGAACTGTTTATTTCCCTTTTTCTCTCTCATCTCTTACTATTTCTGTTTTGCTGGGGGAACCCTGACAAACACAGAAGGTGAGAAAGAACCTGCACTCTCCTATTTATTATTATATCCATTAGCTTATTCATTTTATGTAATACCCCTCCGAGGATGGATGTAATTTCCAGTTTATGGATGGGAACAATGAGGCTCAGATTGGTGAAGCAACATTCCCAAGGTCACACAACCAGCAAATGACAAAAACAGTTTAAAATCTTATTCCCGGGGCCCCTTGTGGCACAGTGATTGAACATCTGCCTTTGGCTCAGGTTGTGATCCTGGGGTCCTGGGATTGAGTCCTGCATTGGGCTCCCCATGTGGAGCCTGCTTCTCCCTCTGCCTGTGTCTTGGCCTCTCTTTTTGTGTCTCTCATGAGTAAATAAATAAAATATTTTTTAAAAAATCTCATTCCCAGGGAGCTTGGGTGGTGCAGCTGGTAAAACATCTGACTCTTGGTTTTGGGTTGGTTGTGATCTTGCTATCTTGAGACCAAGCCCCACATCCAGCTCCATGCTCAGTGTGGAGTCTGCGTGAGATTCTCTCTCTCTCTCTCTCCCTCTACTCCTCCTCACCATGCTCTTTCTCTCTAAAATAAAGCACTAAATCTTTTTTTTTTTTAAATAAATAAAATCTCATTCCCTTTAGTGTCATAGCCTATGCTATTTCTCCTCCACTTGACTACTTCCTTCCCTGCATGTTTTATCTCTCTGGTAGATACTAAGTTTTTGGTGGATGGAAACCAGTTCTAATTATTTTTCCTCTGCTTGTCCACCTGTAATTTTTTGTGCTTAGCACCATCTCTGGCACAGGAGGGGAGAGTGGAGGTGACTTCAGGGATTGGTGAGTGATCTGTCTGGATCAAGGGACTTCTCTGCAGGACAGGACTTTAGACACCTCATAGCCCTATGCATCCCTACTTTTACCTTTGCTTCCAGTGTAGCTCTCTTTCTTCTCCATCTCCATGCTGCTGTGAGTTATTATATGGTCATATATTTCCCCACAGTGATTCCAGGGTGTTCTTAAGTTTGCAGTGAAAAGTCAAGGATCACACTCCCTAGGAAACGCTTCCTCAAGCCCCTTCTGGCACTTTGACTTGCCTGTGCCACCTGGGCCTGGAGCCAGCTGTGCAGCGCGGTTGGGGGGAGAGAGTGTGGGCTAAAGAGGACAGGGAGACCCTGACAGCTTGCTGGGCCCATGCTGGGGAAAGTCTGGCTATAAATAGAAGGAATACTAAGCTGAATGTTTTTAATATGCACATTGAATTCATTTACTTAATGAAGAATTTTCCTGGAAAAGAGAGCTGAGCTGTCAGAGCTGAGCTGTTTTGGAGTACGATGTAAAAGAAAAACTCAAGAGAATTACTTGCTGTTTGGATTTATGCTTTAAAATAGGTCACAATAAAAAGCAACACTGTAGGGGCAGAAATCAGGTCAGTGTTCATCAGGGCTGGAGGTGGGGGCAAGGGACTGACTGGGAAGGGGCAGGGAGGAACTTTCTGGGGTGAGGGTAGCATCTTGTATCTTACTGGGGCAGTCAGTTACAGCCATTCACAGAATTGTTCACCCAGAATAAATGAGTTTTACCATATGCAAATTATGCTTCAACAGCCCTGATCTATCATGTCACAGTGTTCTGGCCAAGGGAGAAAGAGAAGGAGCGGAGAATGAGTTTTCAAGCATCTACTTGGGGTGGAGTTCTCTGTAGCTTCTTTAGATGATTTATCTTGTTATAAAACCAAGGCGAATTAGAGATTATCATCTGCCTTTTGCAGATGAAACAGCCAAGATTGGGCGATCACTCCGGGTCCCACATAAACTCCTACTGGACCTCATGAGGAGGTTTTGGAATTCCATAGTGACCTCCCTCCACCTCCCCGGATGTTGGGAGAGATAGAGCCAAGAAGTCTGGGAATACACAGAACTGAGTTTGTGCTCCTTATATTAAATGCTTCAGACAGCTCTATGCTCTTTCTCCAAAATGTTCTTCCATTCTGTATTCTTTGGCTGTTTCTGGCTGCATCTGGGAAAAGGTCTTAATAAGGTGCTAATGGTCTTTAACAGCTTTATTTAGTACCTTTCGACCTCCCTTTTTATCAAGTGTGCTTGACTTTGGGCAGATGTTGAAATCTGAAAGGGGGTAGGGTGCGCACTGTAGGGCCTGCCATCGTTCCTGGACCCCATTCCCGTGGCTGACATCATTAATCAATCATGTTACTCTATGAACTCTGACTTGCTCTTGCCATCCTTCATGCCATGGTCTTCTGAGCAGTGATTACGAACCCATTTGAATTGGCCCTCAAACTCAAGAGGCTATATTTGCCATCATACCTGTGTTTGGGAGGCCTAATGTAGGTGCATTTATAAATTGAGGGTGAAATCTTATCCTTTTTTCTGCTCAAACCTGGAACCTGGAGAAAAGTTGACATGTGGATCTAGTGGCAAAAGTAGAAAAAGCACGGATTAGACAGAGTCGGACTTGGACATCAGCTCTGTACAATGTCTGCCCATCTCTCCCACAACACTCATCATCTTCATCTTTGAGACGGGGATGATAATAGCTCTCCAAAGGTGTCATGGTGAAGTGTAAATCCTATGAGATCACTCATAGGAAACAAAACTCACCATGTCCTCAGCTCTGTGCTGAGGACTTTTAGATGCATTAGCTTGCTCAACACTTATAACAAAGTAATGTGTAAGAAACTTTTTAATCTGCCTTAAATAGGTGATACTCCATTTGTTCGGGTCACGCATGGAAGAGTAAGGTGGTGAAGTGAACTCAGGTCTGACTCTGAAACTCATACTGTCAGTCACAAGCTACACTGTCTTGTTCCTGGCATGGGGCAGGCAGTCTTTGGGGTGCCACATCCCTTATTGCAGGACCGAGTTGACTGAGAAGGACTCAGACAAGACTGGCTCATACATCAGACTGGTACAGGCCCCGAAGAGAGGACTGGTACAGGCCCGAAGAGAGGAAAAAATCCTCTGCAGCAGGGAATTCCGGGAGAGGTAGAAGGTACCAGTACCATTTTGGGGATCCTGCTGGTCTGTATGGGGCCTGTGTACAAATTAGAAAAAAAAATGGCTCATCTGGGCTAAAGAATTACAAAAGTGACTCCCTCTGGGAAGGCACAGTTCAATAGGAGGCAAGGCTTAGAGCATTTGGATGAAAAAAAAATGGGGTACCTTCTTCTGGGTGGAGGAATTAGTACAGGGTGGCATTTCAGCAGGCATTCAGTAGCTTGACTGGTGTCTTTGTGCAGTACACAACCTGTACAACAATATAAAGTGACTGTATCTTGACAGTTGG